CAGTCAAACTACCCGGTAGACGACTAGTCTTCACCGGGATAGAAAGCTGAGGCTATGAACACAAAACTCCACTACTGGAACTGAATTCCAGTACAAAGCAGTAAATCGACTAACTCTCGTATAATCGATTCACTACTACCGATTGAAGAAGCTCTAACAACCTAATCAGATTCTATCTATCTCATGTTGCATCAGAAATCAATAAAAGATGATCAGGCCTCAATTGACGCAATCAACACACTTCAATCAATTATAATCAAACAATATCACAATCCAAACGTCGTTACAACAATGATCCTTAACACATAAAACTAGGGTTCTTCATACCCAAGTGAGAGAGGGTTCTACTCCATAGAGAGAGACAGAGGAAAACAGCAAACAAAGCAGTCATACTCATCAAGATGGGAATAATCTGCTCTGGGATGGTTATCTTCACTCCAAGGATGATTTCCAAGCTTGATTGATGAAACCCAGCTCCAAAACCACTCTTAGAGGGTGTTCTTTGGACTTTCTCTCTCTAGGGATCTATTTTTTGCTCCAGAAAATTGATCCCCTCTCCTTAGGCTCGAAATTAGGTTAAAGCCCAGAATTCCCCGACCACACGGCCATGGCACATGACCGTGTGGCTTTCCAGTATGCCCGTGTGAATGTGAAAACGTCACGTTTCAATTAGTGGTCTTCAGGCACGCTGCACGCCAGAAGCACACGGCCGTGTGGATTTCCAGTCTGACTGTGTGAGCTCCCTGGAATTTCCACATGGCCACAAGGGGTCCAATACACAACCAGTGTGGCTTGGCCGCGTAATGGGATTCCACACGGCCACACCACACGGTCGTGTGGTTTCTAGGTCTGGCCGTGTGGATTCCTCAGCTCCTCGCCAGACGTCCAACTTTCGTCCAATCGACCCGAAACTCGCTCTTAAACCTCCAATCACGTACTAGGACCTGAAATAACACAAACGAGAACAACCTAGCGTGAAATCGGCCTAAGATATGAGAAATGAGGCTCAAACGGCATAAAAATGGTGGATAAAAACATGTGTATATATCAAGTCATCAATGACCATACCCTATCCAGTGGGTACCGAATGGGTATGTGGGTACCCACCGGGTATGATTCTTATGGCATATTACTGACTCCTCTTCTCTCATTTCTTTCCCCCATTTTTCATATAGGGTGACACCGGAGGCGGAATACAGATCAGACGAAAATTCATTGTAAGAGAGTGACGTTGGTGAGGCAGATTGAACAATGTCGAAGAAAACAACTTGGTTGTGATATCTGCTAGTCTCTCCCCCTTTACTTCGTCTATCTCGAGTTGCTCCCCTGTGCTAGTCTTGAGAGGAGAGTAGCTCGAGACAGAGAATAAAGGGAGCAGATCGAGGTTTAGGGGTTTGATTCGATTTCTAGTGAAATTGAAAGGAGAGCAGCTCGAGACCGAGAAGAAGGTTTGGTATCAGGAAGGAGAGGGGATTATAGCGTAGTGAGTTCATCAGGAAGGAACGAATCAATCGCTAGCTTCTGCTCTAGGTTTCGGGGAGTGGGGAAATTGGGGGAGTTGGGATTCTTATTTTAGTAAGGGGGCTCTTGGCTACTAGGGATTTAATTAACTTATTTAGTTCATTTGTGTTTTGGTTTGTGGGTAAATTGGTTTCGAGATGGTAATAACGGGTGTGTATTGGCAATTACCATACGTCCATACCCATACCCTACCCATTTTTTTGAAACTGAGTATTACCCGTACCCGCCCCTTAACCCGTCAAAGAGGTAATTACCCTCGTTAACCAGTTACGGTCGAATAAGTTTCCCATGGTTACAGGTTTGATTTCAATCCCCAACGGGGACTTAGCAACTGAGGAGATCAAAGCTCATTTTCCTAGGTGAAAGCAAATCTGTCACTCTCTGGCGGTTTTTTTTTTCAAGTCAGATCAAATTAAATATATGTAGTAGAAGAGGAAATGTCGTGTTATGGGTTGGACTATTTTGTGACGTTGCAGGTTCTAATGTGCGTGGCGGGTCGGATATTAAGTTTTTGGGTTAAATTTGGGTAATTGGACTTTTATGTTAGCCACGTTCGCAAAAAGTTAACGTCATTAACGGAGGCTGACGAAGACTAACAACGAGTGGCCGAACCTGGAATATTAAAATAATGTTACGGACTACGCACATGTAAGTGCTATGTACGTAGCATAGTATTTTAGTTGAGCACCTTTTAGCATGTATCCCTAGTTAAGTGATGTAAAGGGATATTTTGCATCCCTATATATATGATGTTGCATGCATGAGAGAGCATCATGATGAGGGAGTTAAAAACACTAATCGTAATAAAACCTAAGCCGAAGACCCTTTTGTGTGGGTCTTACGTGGATTAGTCTTGCTCGTACCGAGTAAGGATACCACGTTAATCGTTGCGTATTGTGTGTCTTACTCTCGCATTTAATATGGTATCAGAGCTGTGAGCTGAGATTCACGGAGTTCTAATCTGTCATCATGAGTTCCAATGATGAAACCACGACTGATACGAAGATGAAGTCCTTGACGACTGCACCTTCGAGTTCGACAGGCATTGCGTCTGGCAGCGTCCCCGCTTTTCCTCCAATGTATGTTCTGCATAACTCCGACAGCCCTAATCAAGTGTTTGTCGGCGAGCTTCTCACCGATTCCAACTACAGTGAGTGGGTTGGCGACATCTCCGACTCTTTCATCGCAAAAAATAAGATTGGCTTCGTTGATGGCTCTATTCCCCAGTCCGCCGATGGTAGCCTTCGTGATCAGTGGAAGATTTGTGACATGATGGTGAAGGGTTGGCTGAAGTAGGCCATGAGCAAGGAGATTCGATCAAGCGTTCGCTTCACCAGTACTGCTCGAGCCATTTGGGTGGACCTAGAGGTGCTTTTCGGCCAAACGAGTGCTCCTCATTTGTATGCTCTCCGACGCATGATCAATGCTCTTCAACGGGAGAAGTCGAGTGTTTATAGCTTTTACACTAAACTTTGAGGGTACTGGGACGATATCCAGGCCATTTCTAGCATAAGTATCGCGCCACGAAAAACAGTGAGCATCTTTTTGACTTCCTCATGGGCCTCGACGATGCCTTCTCAACCGTCAAGACCCAGATCCTAGCTATGCGTCCCATGCCCAGCCTTGCTGAAGCCTATCAGCTCGTGAGCAACGATGAGCAGCAGCGATGGATTGCTCAAGCGTGTCGCCCTACTGCTGAAGTTGCTGCTTTCCATGCTTCTGATGATCGGCCAAATTCTCGCAATTCTTCAAATCGATCCTCTGATTCTGCCAAACCTCTCTATTTTTGCGACCATTGCAAGAAGGCTGGTCACTCTAAGTATCGGTGTTTTGAGCTTGTGGGCTATCCCGATCGGTCGCAGCCCAAAGGTGAGCGTGGTGCTCGTGGGAAAGGGGGTGACCGTGAAAAGAAATCTCCTCACCCAGCCAGGTTGACTCTCGTTCAAGCCCTATTCCCGATTTGTCATCTTCTCAGTTCGAACAACTCAAAACCTTATTTGGTGGGGAACTCAAGCATATGTCGAGTTCTTCAGATAAAGCTACAGGTATTTCCTCCTCTTCTTTTACCGTACATGATGAATGGTAGATTAATACGGGTTGTAACGAGTATATTGTGAATAACTCGAAGCTAGTTCGCGGGTCACAAGCCGACCCGGGTTTGCATGTACGGGTCCCTGATCGTTTGACAGTTCCCTTGACTCGCATTGGTGAAGTTTGATTGTCTAATGGGATGGTTTTACCTCGAGTTTTGTTGGTTCCGTAGTTTAAATGCAACCTCTTATCTGTTAGTCAGCTTACTCGGGATTTTTCTTTGGCTTTGATTTTCCTCCAGGACTTCTGTGTGATACATGACTTGTCCTCGAAGATGATTATTGGGACGGGGAGTCAAGCTGATGGCCTTTACTATTTGAGGCTCCTCAATGGTGTTCGGCATGAGCTGGCCAATGCCGTTCGTGGAACTGCGTCAGCTGACCTCTGGCATTCTCGTTTGGGTCACCCACCACCTGAAAAGTTGGATTTGTTGCATTTACTTACTTGTACTAATCGGCATAATAAGACCATTTGCTCCTCTTGTTTGCGAGCTAAACAATCTCGAGTAATTTTCCCTTCCTGCTCGATTCGCAGCACTCGGCCATTTTAGATGATACATATTGATATTTGGGGTGGATACAAGGTTCCTTCTTTGAGCGGAGCTCATTATTTTCTTACGGTTGTTGATGATTACACCCGTGGTGTCAGGATTTATTTACTTAAGTTTAAGTTTGACTCGGCCAGGTACTTGAAAATGTTTGTTCGACAGACCTCTCGGCAATTTGATGCTTCTATCAAGGTTATCCAAGCTGACAATGGGACTGAATTTCAATCTCATGAGTTAGCCGACTTTTATGTGGATGAGGGTATCCGAAAGCAGACTTCTTGCGTTGACACCCCTCATCAGAATGGTATTGTCGAACGTAAACATCGGCACATCTTGGACACTGCGCGTGCATTGTGATTCCATGCAAATTTGCCAAAGAAATTCTGGGTTGAATGTGTTCTCATGGCTGGCTATCTAATAAATCGTATTCCGCATAGTGCACTTGGCAACGAGACTCCATATTAGCGGCTATTTGGGCGGCCGCCCACCTATTCTCATCTACGAACTTTTAGTTGCCTTGTTTATTCCAAAGACACGCGTCATCACTTGGACAAATTTGATGAACGTGGTAGGCCGTGTGTTTTTCTGGGTTACCCGTCCTCTCAAAAAGGGTGTCGGGTTTATGAATTGTCTTCTCATCGACTCTTCACCTCTCGTGATGTCGTCTTTGAGGAAACGAGTTTTCCCTTCCACACTCTGGTCAGCGATATTTCCCAACTGCCGCGTTCATTTCCTTCTCCCCCTACGGTCGTTGATGATGACGATGCTGTCGTCGTGCCTATGAACCTTGATCGCGAGGACTCCCCATCCTCACCTGCTGATGCTCCTGTCCAGCCACAAGTCACGTCGGGCTCCCCGGTTCCTGTTGCTCGTGTTGATAGTCCTCCGCCCTTGCCAACGAATGTGGCAGACTCACCCACTTCTTCTTCATCACCTCCTCTAGTCGAGCACCCCACGCACCTCGAGGAGCCTCCTTCAGTCGAACACTCTTCGGCGCAGTGACAGGGTTTGCAAGCCATCTGTGCGCCTTACAGGTTATGAGACTCATTTTCCTTCCTCGCACAATTCCGATGTCAAGTATCCACTCTCTGCTTATGTCACTCTTACTCGCCTGTCATCTAATCACCGTGTTTTCATGTCAGCTGTTGATACTTTGCAGGAGCCACGATTTTTCGATGATGCCGTTAAGCTCGCCTGCTGGCGCGAGGCCATGCAACGAGAAATTGCGGCCTTGGAGGCCAACGACACCTGGGAACTCAGCGACTTACCTCCTGGCAAACGACCCATTGCTTCTAAGTGGGTCTATAAAATCAAGTTCCACCTTGACGGCAGTGTTGAGCATTACAAGGCACGTTTGGTTGCTAAGGGTTTCACTCAGGTTGAGGGGGTGGACTACCACGATACTTTTGCCCCGGTTGCGAAACTTGTCACTGTCCGCTTTGTTCTCGCTGTAGCAGCTCATTGCGATTGGCACCTGCATCAGCTTGATGTCAATAACGCTTTTCTGCATGGTGACCTTGATGAAGAAGTCTACATGAAGCTTCCACCAGGATTTGCTCGACTGGGGGACAATCGGGTGTGTCACCTTCGCAAATCTCTTTATGGACTGAAACATGCATCTCGCAACTGGTACATGAAATTTACACAATCTCTTCAATAGTTTGGGTTTTGGCAGTCAAAGGCCGATCATTCTCTGTTCACTTTTTGGCGTAATGGAGCTTATGTCTTTGCTCTCATTTACGTGGATGACATCATCCTTGGCGGTGATGATATCGCGACTATCCAGCGTGTAAAGGGCTTCCTTCATGAACAATTCAGTATCAAAGACCTCGGAGTGCTGAAGTATTTCTTGGGCATTGAAGTTGCTCGTTCTCATAAGGGATTGGTGTTATCTCAGAGGAAGTATGCTCTTGACATCTTGAAAGATGCTAGAGCACTGGCTGCCAAACCTTGTGACTTCCCCATCGAGCAGAATCATCATCTTACCAGGACTGAGGGTCCGACTGCTAAAGACCCCTCCGGTTTTCGCCGACTGGTTGGATGTTTACAGTACTTGACAATCACTCGTCGTGATATAGTTTACGTTGTCAATATTTTAAGCCAGGCTGTGCATTCGCCACGTCAGGAGCACGAGGATGCAACCCACAGAGTGTTGCGCTATCTCAAGGGGGCACCTAGACGCGCCCTTCAGCTTCCCACAACTGGCGACCTCAAATTGACGGCCTTTTGTGACTCTTATTGGGGTGGTTGCCAGAGTACGTGTCGCTCCACTACTGGGTACTTTATACGACTGGGTGGTTGTCTGGTTTTCTTGGCGCATCAAGAAACAATCCGTTGTAGCTCGGTCATCGGCTGAAGTAGAGTATAGAGCCATGGCAAGCATAGTCAGTGAACTTGTTTGGCTTTGCTGGTTACTGACTGACTTAGGCATACACAGTACCACGACAACCCCACTATACTGTGACAATCAGGAAGCCTTGCATATTGCTGCTAATCCAGTGTTCCATGAACGTACTAAGCACGTCGAGATGGACTGCCACTTTGTACGTGGGGTAATGTCTGGTGAGATCGCACCACAGAAGATTTCGTCTCAAGAACAAGTTGCAGACATGTTTACAAAAGGACTAGGCGCGGACCAGTTTTCCTTTCTGACGTCCAAGCTCGGCCTTCATGATATTCATGCCTCCGCTTGAGGGACTGTGTTACAGACTACGAACATGCTAAGTGCTATGTACGTAGCATAGTGTTTTAGTTGAGCACCTTTTAGCATGTATCCCTAGTTAAGTGATGTAAAGGGATATTTTGCATCCCTATATATATGTTGCCGCATGCATGAGAGAGCAGTATGATGAGGGAGTTCTAAAACCCTAATCGTAATAAAACCTAAGCCGAAGACCCTTTTGTGTGGGTCTTCTGTGGATTAGTCTTGCTCATACCGAGCAAGGATACCACGTAAATCGTTGCGTATTGTGTGTCTTGCTCTCGCATTTAACAAATAAACTAGATGACCACTTATGAAATAAAATATTTTAAGTAACCAAACGTAAAAGACCAAACTTACAATTTACCCTTACTTTTAGTCAAAGTTTTGTTTATTCTTTTTAGCCTTCGGTGTTATTGGCACAAATTCGAAAAAGTGAAAGAGGAAGATGAGAGGGAGGATATCACGCGGCTGAACTATTCAAAACTAAGCTAACAAGTTGGTTTATCTGAATTAAACACACAATGGACTCAAATTAGTCAGAAGGCGTTGGCCGTTTCCTTAGTCACCTACAAATTCCGGGGACTGTTCTGTCAATAGACAAATTATGAGCCAAATCATCAATCGGTGCATAACTAAGCAACCATTCAGAAAATATAACCCCTATTTCTCCGGGCAGTGAACAGTCCCCATTTGTCACTCTCGCGAATAAACCGGACGAGGAAAAAGGCCAACGACAAAATTAATTAACACAAACGGAAACAAAATTTGATGAAAGAAGGAAAACGACTTCAGTGGATGCTGGAGAGGAGACCCACTCTAGTAATGGAAGACGTAGACATTGTACTTCACCACCGCATCGCCAGTATTGAAATTAACTTCATGAGTCGTCGCCCGAGCATAGCCACGGGCGAATCGGAACAGCCCGCTGCCGCCGACGACCGGCATCTCCCTGACGCCGGAGAAGATGCTGTTCCGTCCCAACACGCTGAGGTTGCTGCCGTTGTACTTGCCTTCCGTAAATGCGAAGTTGAGCACCATGAGGAAGCTGAGCTCGGTCTGGGAGGCCGAGGCATAGATCCCCTGGGCCCGGCCCACGAGCTTGGAGCTCAATCGGGGGCCCACGGTCAGCGGGTTGTCCATCATCATCACCATCCCGAACGCCGTGCGGGAGACGTTGGTGGTGGCGGCCTGGGCCACGCGGACGGCGGTGGGGTTGCGGCCGCTGACGATGTCGTGGAAGTAGAACCGGAAGTGGCTCAATCTCTCCTTCCCCAGTTTCTCCGGGCGCAGAGTTCGGGAGAATCGGCGGCCGTCGGGTTTGGCGAGCGAAATGGCGAGGGAGAGGGAGAGGAGTAGTAAGAGGAGAGACGCTTTGGCGGCCATGGATTGGGGCTGGTGAGGGATTGGAGAGATGAAGAGACTGAGTGAGTTAGGCGGGATTGCGATTGTGGTGCAGAGTTCGAAAGGGAGGATTGGTGGTATTTAATGAATTAGGGGAAGGCGATGGAGACTTGACTGACTTTCGCCGTATTCTTCGGGTCGTCGCCGGTGAAGGCCGGAGCGTAAAGGGTGGTGCCATTAGCGAAAGCTAAAATATGGTTTGATTTAAAGGCCTTCTTATGGAACGTAAAGGGTGGTGCAATTACCGAATGCAAAAAATTATTTGATTTAAATTGTTTAGTGATTAAATGGCGTTCTTATAGACCTAGCACATTCATGTGACTCAGACCAACTCCAATGCAAGACTTCATCCCTAAATTTGGGGATTGCCCCCATTTTTACAATTTGGCTCCAATACTATCAACCTCAAATTTGGAGATCTCCATTTTATCCATTTTTACATTTACTTAAAAATGTACTTATTGAAGCCTTAATATAATTCGTTAATGTTAATTTTTGTATAGTTCGTATTTTCAATTCAATAATATATTTTCCATTCTTAGTTCGAATTATTTTTTGTGTACACAACTTCAAGATAATAAGTATAATTTTAAGTAAAATGAATTCAATTTAAGTCATCTTAGAAAATAAAATAAATTAATCAAACTATTAAACACATTAAATAGACAACCTTCACTTAATTAATACAAACATTAATTTACTAACCTTCACTTATTAATTACATAACCATCATTAATTAAACACTTAATGAAAAATTAAAAAAAAAAAAAAGAAGGGGCGGAACGTGGACAACCGCCAGCCGTCGCCCGCTCCCCATTTTGGCCGCAGTCTGCATTCCCTTCCCAAAATTGCCGATCAGAATGCCGATTCCACCTCAAAATTGGCGCCTTCACCATTTATGGAGTCCCACCTCCCCCAAAATTGCCGCCTCCCCCATTTTTGCAGGCTGCGTTGGAGACAGCCTCATTTATTAGTTATGGACGTCTTAAAGTGAATGTAATTTAGTTTAGAAGTGGACGCGAGTCGTTCTAGGGACCTTCTTTGCTTTGGGCCGCAAGATCCCAAAACGAAAAATCAATAAAATAGGCTCTTTGACTCCGCGACCACTATTGCTATTATTCCATGGAGGACCCGAACCCGAATGACCACCGTCGATTGACACAGCTCTTTGGTTCGCCAGTTTCGAAATCATACAAATTGCCAATTTGTCAATTTGAAATCAAAGTCGTCTAGAAAGTGTAATCACGTGGTTGAAAAAGTTGATTAATACCAAAGTACGGAATAGGTGTAAAAAGGTTTGGGGCGTTTGGGTGTGTATTTCAAATATAATGTATTTAAAATTTTAACATTTGTAATTTAAATTCAGAATTGATCTTCGGGTTTAGGCGGGAGACACTCCTGTCAGTAGGGCTGGAAGTTTGGTATCGGTATTTGAGATATACCGAATATTGTACCAAATTTGTTTATATTCGGTATTACTGAATACACGTATTATTTCTTGGGATTGGGATTGAATTTCAATTGTTATTCGGTATTAGGGATTACGGGATTGGGATCGGTATATACCGAAATACCGATCAATACCGAAATATAAGCTAATGTGTATTTTATTCTCTCAACTAGACTTTATCATTCACTAATACACGACCCTAAACCACCATTTAATTATATATAGATCATTCTATCACTATTAATAGTCGTCTCTCAACCTCCAATTCCTCAAATTAACAATTACCAATAACAAGAACTTGAGATGTATCCTCTCCTCTATTCTCCTTAATAATATCCTTATTCAAGACACTTTGCTTAGTCTTTTCCCCCTAAATTAAACAATAAAATCTAATTTATATATTTAATTATTAATTACAAAGATAATTAATTTTATATTCGATAATACCGATTGGGATACCGAAGTACCAATTGGGATACCGAAATATTTGGGGATTGGGATTGGGATTGACTTTAGGGTGTAATTCAGTATTCGGAATTTCGGTATTTGGTATTGGGATACCGATACCGTACCGATTTCCACTCCTAGGTGTAGGCGTGTAGCCTGGATTCCGTTTAAGCCTTTAAGGTGGGTCCATTTTTGTTAAATTTTAATTACCTATGATACAATCTTATATTTGAACTTTTTTAAAATAAAACTACATTAGTAATTGAAACTATCAAGAATATATATATTTTTTTTGTGTACCAAATAATTATTCATGATTAAGTTAGTAGTTCGCTTTTGAATGATGTCTCTTATCAGTAACCATTTAGTATCAATAATTCGAGTTGTTCGGAGAGATTAATTAATTCAACTTCAAACTATTATTCATCATTTAGTTGGTCGTTCGCTTTCCACTGATGTTCTTTGTCAAGAAACGTTTAGTATCAATAACTCGACGATTCAGTGGTTGGTGGCTTTTAAATGGTGTTCTTGGTAAAAAGTTGTTTGGTATCAATAACTAGAGTTTTTAAGAGATATAAAATAACGGATCTTATACCATTTTCTAGCGAGCCCCTTCAAAAGAAATCTAACTTATAGATACTTGAATTTTGTACAAATATAAATATCATATGCTTAACAAATGAGGTCATAGATGTTAGAACACTAGAATTGTCAATCAACCATTCTCAATTGGACGCGCCATAATTTTCATTATCAATTAACTATTATACATAATTTTTCAAAGTTTCTCCCGAGTCAGGGTGGGTCTCGGGACCCACCCCATTACCTTCTCCCTCCGCCCTGCCTTTTGCACAGGGCCTTCAAATTACGAGAGCCTCCGACCTCCATCGTGTATATATCTAATTATTATTATAAAGTATTGATATTATTATACTTTTAAAATAATAGAGAATTAATGCATTGAATTTTGATTATGGATCTAAAATAATAATATTAAAAATTACACCAAAATGCTAAAGAAACGAATCGACCGCATGAGAGGATAACTCGTTTAGTTAATTACTTTTCATGTATTTTCTAGAGAGAATAAAAATTCAATTTTGTCAATTAATCATCTTCCAACAAGGAAACAATGCTAAATTAATTTAATCATCTTTAATGATATTTTAATCTTGACAAGAATTAGGCAAAAGCCAGCAAAAGTAAGAAGGAAAAAAATTAGTAAATGAATTATAAATAGTTCTTACCATACTTAGCTTTAGACTAAAAAATTATAAGCTTCTCCTATCTAATATTTTTTCTCAAATACTTTTTTATACTCTTTAATTCATCTAAAATTATTCGTTTCTTCTACTCAATTAAGTTTTCATCACCTATTTAGGTGAGTATAGTGAATTGATTAATTATCAATTTATTTACTATTTGGATTCTTTTTATTTTGATTTGTTTGATTCAAACTCTATTTCATCTTTCTATTTCAACCATTATTAAATAATATTAGTTGAAAATAATATTGTAATTTTATTTATTGATTTATTTATGCTTTACTAAATTTTGAAGAAAAAAATTGAATCTCATTTTATTTATAGAACCGGGCCCTACAAGCTCAGGGTCGACTAGTTTAAATTACTCATAATTTTAGTAAATTACATTTTGGTATCCAAATTTATTTTTTCTTACCATTTAATACCTAAACGTTTAAAATTTAGGGCTAATACCACTACAACACCCGAACTATCGAAGAAATGCCACTTGTGTCCTATTTTATCCAATATTCCATTTATATCCCGAACTATTTTTCTGTTAGTGTTGACCGTTAGTATTTAACAGAAAATGTAGTCAACATTGACGTGGCATCTGACATGTAATTTTCAATTTTAGTTTTTAATTATTTCCACATAAATAAATAATAATATAAAAAAGAGAATAAACTAAAAATATTTCCAAAATCCAAAATAAAATAGAAATAAAAAAACCCTTCAGACATCGCCGCTCCTTCACCTCCATGGAACCCTCATCTTCCTATTCTTCTAGACTCGTCGTCGTTGCTCTCAAATCCATTCATTCTTCTAATCCTTCTTCTTCGCTATTGTGCGAAGCTCGTGTTTTGTGGGTTGTACAAAATGATTAATAAAGTGGTGGAGGATATGTTGCGGTTGGAACTCATATGGTTGATAGACTGGTGGTGGATGAACATGACAAATCTGGGTTTTTCCGATCTTGCGAGACTCAGAGGAAATCAGGGAGAACAAAAGAAGAGAAATAGAAAGTCGTTGTCGAAGTAAGGATATCAAGCAAGCATATCTAGATTTTCGGATCGAAATCGACAAGCTTATTTACAAAGCTCCCCGTCCCCAAATCGACGAAATTTGAGGCACAATTTGGGCAAAGATAGCCTAATTAGTAACTCTCGTCGGCTGGCCCAATTTACCTTCCTCGACATACAATCTTCCTCTATTAGTCGTTTGCAGACGATGTCGACACTTGAACTCCCGACTTCTCATCGTTGTTGAGAAGCAGAGATTCAAGCCCCTTCTTCTTGAATTCCAGCCCGCCGATTTGCAATATGGTGAATAGATCTCTCAAAAATAATGCGACCTCTTCCTTCTCCGATTCCACCCCCGGTTGGGATAAAACGATGGTGTTCGACTGGTGGAGGACACCGGATCTGAGCTGCAAATCGAGGTTGTGGAGAAAGCTGGAGAGAGTTGAGGAAGCCATATCGAGGTCGTTCTGGAGAGCAGGTTGCCGCCGGGGAAGATAGAGGCAGAGAGATCGTTGTTATCATGTTGATTCTGGGAAGGGATTTGAAGGCGACAAAGAGCTCTGTCTCCGGTGAAGGGTGAAGCAGAGCGAGGCGGGGAGGGGGTTGAAGGCGACGATGAGGATTTTATTTTTGTAATTTTAATGATTTTTGTATTTTAATTTGATTTTGAATTAAGAAAATGTTACTGACGTGGCATCCACGTGGATGCCACATTTTCTACCACGTCAGCAAAAGTCAACATTGGTTTGACTGCCGTTTGGTCAACCGTTATTTTTAACGGTCAACAAAATGGCCAGGATACAAATGACACAAAGTATGATATGACGGGATAGAAATGGAATATTGAATAAAATAGGATAAAAGTGGCATTTTTTCAATAGTTCGGGTGTTGTAGTGGTATTAGCCCTAAAATTTAACAAAAAGGTTCGGAAAGTTTGGTGATAAAATTACATTTTGGTACCTTTATATGTTTTGATTTATGCTATTGTACCTAATTTTTAAAATTTAACAAATAAGTTGATTTAGAGTTGATTGTCGGGTTGGATCCGGTCCTTAAGTCTCATTGTTTAAGGAGGTTTTTAAATCATTTTTATTGGCTGATACTAGATTAGGTAGTTAATAGTTAATAGTTAGTTGGAATAAATAAGATATTATGAAAATATAATTAATATTACTCATTAATGATTCTCTTTCTCTCTCCCCCCTTATCTTCTCCATAATCCTCTCTCTCCACTACAATTAAAAGGAAATTCGAAATTAATTTAATTAAATATTATTAAAAATATTTATGCTCTCTCTCACTTCGTGGCAACTTGCAATACAGTATTAACATTTTGCAATGACATTATCAACATTTATGAAATGAATCGGTATTATTATACCTCATCATTATTAACGACTTCAATATACTTATCAATTCCTTACAATTACATTATTAACAATTTTGGATCAATTGTTACTGTTTTATAGTTTCGTCATCAACAGCTATGAATGAATCATTAAAGTTATGTAACATAGTCATTAATAGTTTGAATAACAATATCATTGATTTACAACAACTTTAGTACTAATGATTCACATTTTCACATCATGTTTATAACTATCTAGTCATGGCATCTTCCAATGATTTCTAATGACATTATTAACGTTTTATGATAAATTAATATTGCTTGACATTATCATTCTCAATGATCATAAAACACAATACTAATTTTCAACATCTTGGGTACTTGTGACATAGTGCACCTGTGTGATTCAGTCAAACAAACATTGTCCAGAAAAATATTAGCTCAAGCAAACCAACATTCACGCCTCAACACCAAACTTTTAATAACAATACAATAAATCATTGATAACGAAAAGTATTTCGTTGAAAATAAACACAAAACATCAATGTAAAAATGTCCGACTTCAACATTATAAATGACATCAAACTTTTAATAAAGATATTAAAAACCATTAATATCGAATGATCAAGTCACTGATAAGGAAATAGATTTTTGTAATATAAAAATATTAATAATATTCAGATGCAATGTTTAATGTAGCACTAAAAACGCATTAATAAGTAACATGTGTTTAATGGAGAATGCATCCAAAAACTTTGATAATTATAGCAACTAATGATTGTTAAGTACCTTATTAGATATTATTAATATCTTATTTTCAAACATTGATAATGCTTATACACGCCTATTAATAATGACACCAAACTACGTTACTAACTTAGACTGAAAGATTAATAACCATACTTATATTATTAAACGTAAATTCACTTTTGATAATGTCATAAACAAACGAATATCTAACAAGTATGCTTCTTGATAATGACATTTGACAAAGTTACAAACATAAACGATAAAAATATTAATAATTCAAATCACTAAACATAAGCAATCTTAAAAATGAATTAATTTTTTGCTAATGGTTGTATTGTGCTTGGAAAAAAAATATTGATAATAGCACTTCAAATGATTATAAATCATTGCGAACCAAATTGATAATACGATGCAATAGTAAATAAACTTCAAGTACCAACAAATTGAAAACACAATTTCACGTTTTCTAATGTTACAAACAAAATATAACATAAAAAGTTAATAATGTCATATAAAATTATTAAAAAACATGTCGAAAAACATTAATAATAACACAAACGAATACCTAACAACGAAAAATCTCAAACCCATGCAATGAAAAGCCCTAATGATGATTCAATTTATAAATATTGATAATGTCATTACAAAATGTTAATACTTAAACTAATCGGAAGTTGTCAAGATGTGAGAGAGGCATATATTTTAAATTTCAAATTTCCATTTTAGAAAAATAAAATTATTAAATTCAGATTTTATTAAATATTAAATAAAATTAATTTCAAATTTCTTTTTAATTATAATGTAGAGAGAGGGTTATGGAGAAAATCATGGGAGGAGAGAGAAAGATAATCATTAATTAATTATATTAATTTTAATTATATTTGCATAACCCTATTTACCCTTAATTACCTATTAACTACTAACCCCCATTAACTACCTAATCTACTATCATCCAATAGGAAGGCTTTAAGATTTTCCTTAAGAAATGAGACTTAAGGACTTGAACTCAAGCCGTTGATTGTTGAGTTCCATTTGCAGAATGCAAAGTAAAATGTGCACGAAAAAGGAAGACTGTGGAGTCTATTCTGACACAAATGAAGTCTTAGGTGGAAGCTGTTAATGGTAGTGAAGGAGTGCGTGAATTCTGGAATGTCTGAATCAAGCACTTGTTTCTTACTCTTGGCTATAGTATTTTCGTGAAATTGCTGTCGATCGTATTATAGCTCAATTTGACCAAACTTAGTCAACCCCTCGTAAACTTCCTACCAAATTATCCTACCCGCTACTACTGTGTTTGTACTGCTACTAGTGTTGTCTTTGCCTCATATAGGTTGCAAAACTAAAACTATCTATTGAGGCCGCAAAAATTGTAAATTGGCAGCAGTTGGGCAAACTCTGCATTCCCTGAACTGTAGCTATGTAGGTCGCTCTCAATATGCTCCAACAGGACCTCTTGACTTCTCATGATCTTCTGGAAACACTCGCACACATCTTTCCTTACAAATACTTGAGATAAACCAGCCGCCCACCAGCATTATTTTGTTTAAGGATGGCAAAAACATCCGAAACCACGGATGTACATCTGAATTTAACTTAATCAAGCAGTTAAAACTCGAACCCGAATGATTTTTAGTGGGTACGGGTAAAACCCGAATTCGAATATTGCAGGTAATTGGTGGACATGATTTTTTTCACTATCCAACCAAAACCGGCTCGATTATATCCTTGGATTTTGTATTTCTTCAAAATTCAATCCAATGGTCATGAATCATTTGTAGGATAGAGAGAGAAGGTTGCCCAAATTTTGGGGAATGCGCACGGATTTTGAGGTTGTTGTTAAAGTTTTTTTTTTTCAAATCTCCAACAAAAAATTAATGTATCATAACTCATTTGTTTTATATCGTATTTCAAAAAATTTTGCATAGAAATATCAGTTTTTGTGTGTTTAAAAGATTATATCCAATTTGATATTTTTCTAACAAAAAATTTCGAGTCATCATACAACTGTCATATCACAATATTGTCACTAATAGTGGTATGATGTTAATATGATAATGGTATGATGTTGATATGATAGTGATATGGTGTTGGTATGAGATCTTATATTTCATAAAATAATTTGATGACATCATATCAATGTCATATAATGATATTATCACGATATGACACTGATATGATTGGTACGACACTGTTATGATGTTGGCATAACAGTGATGTTGGTATGAGGTCTAATGCTTGTGAAAACATAACAACTGGATATTAATGTGTAGATATTAATGAATGTGTTCTTTCCATACAATTTTTTTCAAATTTTGAGTTGAAATGAAAAAGATAGGTCATCATATCACTGTCATATCATGATGATATGACATCAATTTATGAAGTAGGTATGACAGTGATATGATGAATGCGTTCTTTCTATATATATTTTTTTTATTTTGAGTTGAAATAGAGAAGAGGAGTCATATATCACTGTCAAATCATGATGATATGATTGATATGACAGAGATAATACTACAACCGAGACGTGTTTTGAATTCATTTTTTGCTTAAAATATAGCAAAATGGATATCAATGTGTGAATCATAATTAATGCGTTTTTTCACCTGGGTGTTGTCCCCCCAGCTAGTTATAAAGGTGAGTTAAACCGAATGAAAGTGCATGGTGAAGGTGGTTGCTAACCGTAGGAAAGTGCAACAAGTGAATCGGGTTCACTCTCTTGATCAATTGGCTAAGGGGTTACAAGCTAAGCTACCTCGGTGACTCTCTTAGCCAATCGGCCAAGGTACACAAGTCAAGCTCCCTAGGTAACTCTCCTAGCCAATCGTCTAAGGGTTACCAAGGCTTCAGCCTCGAATCAAAGTTTGGATGACTAAGTCGCAACCAACACAAGGTGCTTAAGTATAGTAAGAGGTGTGCCATAATTTGACCTAGGTAGGTGACTCAATTAGGCAAAGGAAACCCAGCTTTTGGAAGCCTCTTCATAAGAAGGGAGTTTCCCTCTAGCTAGGTCAGTAGCAAAGTAGTTGGAAATGGAAAACACAACACAACATCCATGAAAATACCTCCATACTTGCATTCAAACACAACCATACACAAATAATTCAATTCATACAAAATTTCACATGTTTCTAGCTAGGGTTCACAAACACCCAAGTGAAATAAAGGACTACTCCATGCTAGGTAGAAGGAATACACAAAGGAGAGAAGAGAAAACCATCTTGGAGATGAATGCTTTCTTCCTTTTGTGTGGGGATCAACCTTGAAGGTGGAAATTCCCAAAACCTAGAGCTTGGATGAAACCCTAACCTCCTTCCTCTTCCTCTTTCTTGCTCGTCAATTTCTCTCTCTAGAAG